GCAAAGGCCTAATGAACCACAACTACCACGGCCTCCACTAGACTGATTCCAGTACAACTAGATGGTGCCCGGCTACCACCACTGACTACTCTGATAGGGATCACAACAGAAGGTCCTGGACACAGCTGGAGAAAAATGTAGAACAAAATTCTAACTCACAAAAAAAGGCCAGACTTACTGGCCTGACAGAGACTGGAGAAATCCCAAGAGTATGGCCCCTGGACACCCTTTTGGCTCAATAGTGAAGTCACTCCCGAGGTTCACCGTTCAGCCAAAGATTAGACACCCCCATAAAATAAAATCAGACTAATAGGGCACAACAGTCCAGGGACAGGACTAGAAGGCAGGAGGGGACAGGAAACTGGTAATAGGGAACTCAAGGTCAAGAAAGGAGAGGACATGTCATGGGGTTGTTAACCAATGTCATAAAACAGTAGGTGTACTAACTGTTTAATGATAAGCTATTTGTTCTGTAAACCTTCATCTAAAGTACAATAAAAAAAATTTTTTTTTAAAGAAGAATTCTCTTTCTCTCATATTCAATGCATACTAGAGCTTTCTGCCATTCATTTAATCATTTTTTTATTCATTAAAAAATGTGTATTGACGTAGACTTTCTGGCACTATGTACTACTACAGTACAAAGTTCAATAAGAAATGGCCCCTGCCTTTGAGAAGTGATGAGCAGGAGTGAAATATACACTTAAATATCTAAGTGGTCCAAGGGAAGAGGCAAGTATTGCCACCTGGGTATGTCAGAGAAAGGCTTCCTGGAGAAGGCAGCCCTTAGATCAAGCCTTCAAAGACGAGTCGATGTCCCTCAAGTTTGTAGAGCAGAGGTTAAGGAGGAAAAACTTCCAGGCAGAGAGAGTCACATGAGCAAAGTTTTGGAATGCCTGCAGTTGTTGTTGTTAGTTACCTTCAAGTCGTCTCCGACTCATAGCAACCCCATGTATAACAAAACAAAATGTCACCTACTCCTGCACCATCTTCATGATCTTCAGTATGTTTGAGTCCACTGTTGCCACTATTGCAGTGCCTTCCAACCTAGGAGTCTCATCTTCTAGCACTATATTGCACAGTATTCTATCGTGATCCATAGGGTTTTCATTGGCTCATTTTCAGACGTAGATTTCTGGGCCTTTCTTCCTAGTCTGTCTTAGTTTGGAAGGTCCTCTGAAACCTGTCCACCATGGGTGACCCTGCTGGTATTTGAAATACTATTGGCATAGCTTCCAGCATCATGCAACACACAAGCCACCACAGTAAGATCAACTGACAAATGAGGATTTGGGGAACTGCAAATAGCTCAGAATTTCTTTATGTTTTACATATATGAGAGACAGTGTAGCATGGTGGTTCACAGTGTGAACTCTGGGGCCTGGGTCAAATCTCAGCTGCACCACTTACTGGCTGCATGACCTCGGGCAGGTCACTTCACCTCTGTGGTCTTAAACTAAAATGGAGAGAATAATTATACCTATCTCATAGGATTGGTGTGAGAATGAACTGAGTCAAGACATTTAGAACTACGCTTGGCACTATATAATTGTCCCTGGGGAAGGAGCTCTGGTGGAGCAATGGTTAAGAGCTTGGCCGCTGTCTTAGTCATCTAGTGCTGTTGTAACAGAAATAACACAAGTGGTTGGCTTTAACAAAGAGAAGTTTATTTCCTCACAGTAAAAAAGGCTAAAAGTCTGAATTCAGGGCGTCAGCTCCAGGGGAAGTTTTTCTCTCTTTGTCAGCCTTCTCATCAATCTTTCCCCAGACTAGGAGCTTCTCCGTGAAGGGACCCCGTGTCCTAAGTACGGGCTCTGCTCCTGGCACTGCTTTCTTGGTGGTATGAGGCCCCCCATGTCTCTACTTGCTTCTCTCTTTTATATCGCAAAAGAGATTGCCTCAAGACACAATCCAATCTTGTAGAATGAGTCCTGCCTCACTAACACAACTACTGCCCATCCACCCTCATTAACATCAGAGAGGTATGATTTACAGCACATAGGAAAATCACACAATACCGGGAATCATGGCCCAGTCAAATTGATACACACTTTTTGGGGGGACATAATTCAGTCCATAACAACAGCTAACCAAAAGTCCGACAGTTCAAACCCACCAGCCACACTACGGGAGAAAGATGTGGCCTTCTACTTCCATAAAGATTACAGCCTTGGAAACCCTATGGAGCAGTTCTACTCCATCTATAGGGGCGCTATGAGTCGGAATTAACTCGACAGCACACAACAATAGTCCCTGGGTAGTGCAAACAGTTAAGCACTCAACCATGAGCTAAAAAGTTGGCAGTTTGAATCTACCCGGAGGCACCTCGGAAGACAGGCCTGGTGATCTGCTGCTGAAAGGTTGTACCCTTGAAAACTCTATGGAGCAGTTCTACTCTGTACACATGAGGTCATCATGAGTTGGAATGGACTTGATAGCAACTAACAATATATATCTTTATCTATCTATATGTAAATAATTTTCATTTTCCCATTTTTGACCTTTATATAAATGGAATCATACTATTTATATTTTTATGAGACTTTTAAAAGTCAACATTTTTTTGAAATTCATCCATTTTGATGCATGCATCTGTAGTTCATTAATTTTCCTTTTTAGTTAACACATCATGCATCTGTGCCTTATCTCTCTAAGGTGATTGTGCACTTTGGAGAGCAAGGACCACATTTTCTATATCCCCTGCTTTCCAGGAGTTCACAGTGGCATTTGTGATTTGTTCATTGAGATTGCAAGCTGTTTCTAAGATACTTAGATTGGAGAAGAAAGGACTGAGGGAAACTTACTAAGGATTGTCAAGATTTTGTATAGAACATGATGATGTTCCCCACTTCACTAAGGCTTCAGTCAGAGAAGTGGTTCTACGCTGCCCTGTGAGAGAGTTATTGTTTTTAGGTGCTGTTGAGTCGATTTTCGACTCACAGTGACCCCATGTGATGGAGTAGAACTGCCCCATAAGGTTTTCTCAGCTGTAATCTTTATGGAAGCAGATTCATAGGTCTTTCTCCCTCAGAGCTATTAGGTGGACTTGAACTGCCAACATTTTGGTTAGCAACCAAGTGTTTAACTGTTGTGCCACCAGAGCTCCTAGGTGACAGAGTTAGATTGGATAATTATAATTGGCTATTTACTGTGTGCCAGGCACTACATCAATTTCTTTATAAGAATTACTCTACTTAAATCTTCAAAATAAGCCAAGTGAGGAAGGTATTATTTTCTCCAGTTAAAGGTAAAGAAATTGGCCTAGAGAAGTTATATTAACTTGCTGAAGGGAAACTCAAGCCTACCAAGTGACTGAGGACCCCAGGGTTAATTTATATGGTAACCTAATAGTTTTGAGAATGGAGGGATGGAGGTGGTGCAGATGACGCTGTGGTGACTGAGATCATCTCCCATTATCCCTAAAGATGTTCAGAGGAGACAGTAACAGAGTAAGCTCTGGAATAAGTCAAATCTGCCACTCATTATCTGTGTGATCTTAGAAAAATTATTGAAACTCTCGAAGTCTCCACTGCTTCACCTGTAAAATGGGAGTAATAGCATCTACTTCATCGGGTTGTGAAGATTTAAGGACACAGGACAACGGGTGATAAATGTAGTGATGTTGGTAATTCCAAATTAGCACCCGCCCTTGTACTGAAGTCACACAAAATGGAGTTCTGGCCCAAATCCAGATTTCCTACATTCGGGCCCATTTTAATTAAATTAATTTAGGTAATTAAGTGCAATCTTTTGACCAGAATAGTCATCTGAATGGGGTGGTGGAAGGGTCAGGAAGGAAGGAAAAAAAGGAGAGGTAGAGAAGGCTATCAGCCTCAGCTGTCTGCCTCTCAGTATTTCTCTAACGAAGCGCAGTACAGTATTTTCTCTACCGGCATTTGGGGCTAGCCAGTTCCTCCTTCCGCTTGCGCCACTGTCCCATGCATTGCAGGAAGTTCGCTATCTCTGGCCCCTGGGCACCAAGACACTAAGTACCAGTAATACCTCCCAGCCATTGTGCAACTGTAAACACCCCACACATTTCCAAATTCTCCCCTAAGGATGGTTCCAGCCCTGGTTGAGAACCTTTGGAGGTTCAACCAGAGTCAGGCTGTAAACTCTTTTGGAGATACCCCACAGCCACTAGCACAGGGATGAACCCACAGTGAGCCCTTAGTTTCTGATTCTAGAATTTCTCTGGAGTGGTCCTTTCTCACTGCTGGACTTCTCCAGCTCATTTTCTGTATACTGTTCTCTGGGAGAAGTTGGTGCAATTTCAAGGGTGCAGTTAAGGGAAAAGGATGCAAATTCTCAGCATGGTGGGTAGCACTTGGAGTCTCTTCAAAGCATCAGTAAATAAAGTTGTCAGAAGTAAACACCTTAGTCCAGCAACTCCTCACCAACATCTTCATTTGCATGTTCTGGGCACCTGACTGCCTAAGAGTTCTTACAACACAACTTCGAGCTCTTGGAAACCCCCAAATGAAGTTACAGTATCACTCAGAAATTTTATTTCTATCAGTTAACCAATTGCCTTCGGGGAGATTCCAACTCATGGTGACCCTGTGTGTGTCAGAGTAGAACTGTGCTCCATAGAGTTTTCAATGGCTGATTTTTCAGAAGTGGATCTCCAGCCTTTCTTCCGAGGCACCTCTGGGTGGACTCAAACTTCCAACCTTTCAGTTAGCAGCCGAGCACATTAACTGTTTGCATCACCCAGGGACTCCAGCCATAAAGAATTCAGCACACTTTGGATACTTTGATATGATGATGGCAGCCGCTGGTACTCACTTGAAAGCTTAACAGTTACCCTTCACTTTGGGAGGAACTGCCATCTTTTGCGCTCTGCTATTAACCGAAAGGTTGATAGTTTGAACCACCCCTTGGTACCACGGAAGAAAGGCCTGGCAATCAGCTTCGGTAAAGATTACAGCCAAGAAAACCCTATAGAGCAGCTCTACTCTGTAACACACGGAGTCACCAGGAGTTGGAATCAACTCTACGACAATGGGTTTGTTTGTTTTGCCCTTTTTAGTTACATTTTCTCTTTTCCTCTTTAGTGATAAAGTCTTAGGTATTAGACTGAGTAAATATTGTGAAACGGAAGTTGTTTGACCAAAACTAGTTGTCTGTTCATTGACCATAGACTTTATTGAGCTAATAGGAGCCTAGATCTGTGTGAAATTTGGTTTAAACTTTAAAGTTTTCAATTCTCAAATGCAAGAGGTTTGCACGAAAAGAAAAATCCAGCCATTACCGAGTGAAACAAAAGCTCCGTCCTCCAAATGCCTGCTTTGGTTTAGCATAGTGGTTTTCTTTTCTTTTAGATAAATTGTCATTGAAGCAAAACCAAGATATGAGAAATGTGAACCCCCACTCTTTCAACACTACCCATTGTGTTCAAACTCATAAGCAAGGAAGTTAAAAGCCCACCTTCTTCTTTAACAAAATATGAAAGCTGTTGTTTTGAAATAGAAATTACACTCAGACTTGAAGTGATAACCGCGTTCAGATTCAACCAGATCTGCAGCCCCCATCCAAAAACTTCTTCTTTCTGTCATGAGAATTACCTTACCTGGAACTCACTCTTCAAATGCTCAAGAAGCCTATTCACACGAATGAAGCAGTTTTCTTAGAAGCAAATGCGGAAGCTGCCCTCCCCGAGTGCTTAGGCAACGTTGGCAAAGGAAATCGCCTCGGGCGGCCCGTGGCTTTTTTCACAGCTTCTGTTGAGCGCCTGCTGCCTAGACTGATTGTCCTCCTCAAGATGCAGTATCTGGAGGCGGAGGAGCTCCTGGTCGATGAAGATGATAATATTTTTGATGAAGGTAAACAAGTCTTTCTGACAGGATCTCCTTCCGGTCTGCAAATACTCGAATAGTACTTTGAAATGATGACAACTAAGCGTTCTGGATGTGATGGGGGTTGTGGACATCAATCTAGGGACTGAAGGAATACAAGGCAAAAGGATAGGCGAGGGAGTTGAATGGTTTCTCTGAACAGTTTTGTGGTTGCTGCTCATGACTGGCTAAAGGTTTGCTGTTCTTAGTTGCCATCCAGTAGATGTCGACTCATGGCAACCTCATGTGTGCAGAGTAGAACTGCTCCGTAGGGTTTTCAGAAATAGATCACTAGGACTTACTTTCCAGGCATCTCTGGGTGTGTTCAAACTGCTAAACTTTTGGCTGGTTGTCAGCACTTAATTGTTTGTGCCACCCAGGGAGCAGTGGCTAAAGGCTTAGTTTAGGTCAAAAAATAGTACTAAATCTTTCCCGTTGTCCCTCTGCTGTCCTTTCTTTCATCTAACGCCTTAAAGGAAGCACATTGCTTTGCACACAGCAGGGCTGCTAAGATAGGAACTGGATGAATGGAACAGGAGGCACCATATCGCTTCTATCTGCACTTTCGGCCGCAATTGCTTTCTCTCTCTTTGGATTTTTCTCTCTCTCACTCTACCTCACACTTACTTCGAGCCCTGATTCTCCATTCCCTTGCCTTTTTCCTCTTCCAGACTGGAATGCTGAAGCTGTGGTGGCTTCCGACACCCACTGGCACTGCTTAGTTATCCATTCTTTTGCTTACTGCTCTTCCATAAGGAGACCTACTTATGGAGTGGGATTTGACTGTAGGATTACTATTTTAAATGACCAGTCTAGTCACCAGCAGATGTCTTGTCCTAATACTGCATATGAAATTGGACTGTAGGCAAGAGCTTTTCTCGAATTTGGAACTGTCCCAAATAAATGTTAATCTGGACTCAGGGACCTCATAAGGTCCCCCGGGTGAGGCAAGCAGTTTGTGATTGGCTGCTAACCTAAAAGTGGGCTGTTTGAACCCACCCAGTGGTGCTGTGGAAGAAAGTCCTGGTGATCTGCTTCTGTAAAGATTACAGACAAGAAAATCCTATGGGGAAGTTCTGCTCTGTAACATGTGGGGTTCCCATGAGTTGGAATTGACAGCAATGGGATTTGTTTTTTTTTGTTGTTGTTTGTTTGTTTGTTTTTGGTTTGGACTCAGGGAGCTCACAAGTTTTGCTATTTTCCATAAGAAACCATGTGAAAAATTATGTCAAGTAATATTAAGTCTTTTTTTGTGTGTGATTACCTAAGTAATACAAGTTCGTTGAAGAAAAAGATGAAATATTTTTGAAGTACCATAATAAGAATCCCCTGTAATCTAATCATCTAGGGGAAAAACTATTAACATTTTGATATTTGTCTTTCCATTATTTTGTCCTAGCCACAAAAATATTTAAAATCATAATCTGGGCTTTGTCACCAACTTAAATCAGTTAAAAGAATATCTGCTTAAGCTTCATGACTGCTTTCAAAATTCCCAACTTGTTGCTTCACTTTGATGATAGACATTTAGAGCAACTACTACTCTGAAGAAGCCCTGGCGGCACAGTGGTTAAGAGCTCAGCTGCTAACCAAAAGGTCAGCAGTTTGAATCCATCAGATGCTCCTTGGAAACCCTATGGGGCAGTTCTACTCTGTACTATAGAGTTGCTATGAGTCGGAATCAACTCAATGGCAAGTTTCTTTTTTTTTTTTTTAATTACTCTAAAAGTTTGATCTTAGGCTCTATTCTTCAGCTTTCATTTCTACTGAAGATGCTTTCTCTGATTATACCTATTTAGATCTTTACTACCTTCATGACTTTAAAAAATGTTTACAGCTAGGAAGATAAACCTGGATTGGACAGTTTGGTAATTATTCACTTCACCTCCAGGAATGGCATTCCAAAATGCCCGGCCTACATTTCTTTCCCTGAAGAGATTTTTCTCTTGTACATCTGGCTACATTGCTGAAGATTATCATCTATGGACTGATGGATCTACACTGTGTAAAAGGATTAAGTGTGGCCCCACCCTCACGGGAAAACTCCCAGTTGTCATAGAGTTCACTCCAACTCATGATGACGACCCCATGTGTGTCAGAATAGAACTGTGCTCAGTTGGGTTTTCAATGGCTGATTTTTCCAAAATAGATTGTCAGGGCTTTCTTCCAAGATGCCTCTGAGTGGGCTCAAACATCCATACTTTTGGTTAGCAGCTGAGCTTGTTAGCCATTTGCACCACCCAGGCACGCCCTCTGAAGGGAAGACCACAACAAAGCAAGGCTTGATGAACCTGTAGGATCTCTCTTGTAAGCATTCAAGATAACTAAGAGTGATGGTTTCAACCTCAGCAGTCATGGTGTACAGTCTAGTGGAGAGGCAATCAAGATTTAGGTTCAAAAATTCTGGCTCTGCCACTTACTACCCATGTGACTTTTGAGCAAATCGTTTAACTTGCTAAGCTAAAGGTCCGGTTCCTCAGTGGTGAAATGGGACAGACAACCCTTTCATAGGCTGTTGTACAGTTTAGCTTCATAGTAGATTCACATGTGTATATGCTTTATCTTTTCCAGATTATCTCATTTAACTTAATCCCTAAAAGATTAAAGAGAGAATCCTTGCAAGACCAGTGTATTTTTATTTGGTTTTTGGCATCCTGGCTCTTGTTTGCCAACTTCTATGAGAGCTTGTCCAGGTGGTGCCTCATTTAAACAAGCTCTGTGTGGGGTACTAATCAAGCGCTTCAGCTCTGGAGTACCACTGCCTGGGCTCTGACACTCATTCTGTGACCTTGAGCAGGTTACACAATCACTGTACATCAGTTTCCTCACTTATAACATTATAGGACTGTATTCAGATTAAATTTATTACAGGGAAAGTGCTTAGCATAGTGCCTAAGACATAATACTAGATTTAAAAAAAAAAAAAGTTGGCATCAACTCGATTCCAACTCATGGCAACCCCATATGTGTCAAAGTAGAACTGTATTCCATAGGATTTTCAATGGCTTATTTTTCAGAAGTAGATCACCAGGCCTTTCTTCTGAGGTGCCTCCATGTAGACTCAAACCTCCAAACTTTCAGTTAACAACTGAGCATGTTATCTGTTTGCACCGCTCAGGGACTCCCAAAACATAATACCAAAACCAAACCCACTGCCATCAAGTCAGTTGCGACTCATAGCGACCTCATAGGGTTTCCAAGGCTGTAAATCTTTACAGAAGAAGACAGCCACATCTTTCTCCTGCAGAGCCACTGGTAGTTTTGAACCACCAACCTTTCAGTTAGCAGTTGATTGCTTTACCTACTGTGCCACCAGAGTTCCTTCAAAATGTAATAAGTACTCAATAAATGCTAATTCTGACTATGTATTGACCAAATTGGTTTATAGTTTAGGTTAGAAAGTGATGTTTAAAAGAGATTCAGCACAGAGACTTCTTACCTGTCTGGTTCACCTGGTATACTCAAAGTAGGACTATTTACAGAACTTCATTTATAAGTAACTTTTCAGAGGTACTATATGGTGGAAACAACACGGGACAAGTTGTTAAGAGCCTGCATGTTAGTCCTGCCCCTGGTGTGACCTAGCTGTTGAATCCTGGGCAAGTCATTTAACCTCTTTGAGTCTCATTCTTCATCTAAAACAAGAGGGTTGACTAAACGTTCTCTAAAATCTCATTTTTAAAACTCGATTACTTTGTCTTTTCTGCATAGTGACATTCATCTACCCAGAAAGCCTCATTGTCACTCTAGCTCCAGCCATGCTTTCAGCTCACTCAACATGCCTAAGAAAGCAGAAAGCTTGTGGTACAATGGGTTTCCTCTAACACACACAAAAAGAAAAATGCCCAGGAGCTTGTTACTAGGGCAACCCTTTTCCTTGCAATAGACATATTTTTAAAGGACCCTTTTCCCTAAAGGAACACAGATTTAAAATTTAGGTTCGTTTGGTTAAAAGTATGTACAAGATATACGGACCGAATAAAGATCTGGGAAGGAAAAAGAAAATGAGTCATGCTCACTGTATTTTTTTTTTTTTTTAACTGCCTTTTCAAGACCCTGTTTGCTTCAGCTATTGTTTTCTGTGGTTAAGGAAGCATTTTTAGGTTCACAGAACTAAGAAGCATTGATTTGTAACTTTGCTCTTGTTCTAGAGCATGTGGTTAGTGCGTGTGTGTATGTGCGCGCGCGCGTATGTGAGAGAGAGAGAGAGAGAAGTAGTCATTCAACCACCCACCACAACCCCAGTATTTATCGTCTCTTTTCTCTCTCTCTCACACACACACAGACACACTCACACACACACACACACAACCTTATTTTTGCTTTCCATATAACACCACCAACATCATATCATTTAGAAAATGGTTACTATCAGGTAGACTTTATTCTTTCTTGGGGGAATGATTAATTTGATTATCAAAGTATTTAAAAAAAAACAGTAACTGGAATTAGAGGCTGCTTTCCCACTGTTGTTTCAAACTTATCAAAGTAAAAGGTTTTCATCTGTTTTGTCACTATGCCGTCTTTACAGCCAGTCTGGTGAATGTTAGTAGAAAGAGCTGGATGGAAAATAATAGTAACAATACCTATAACAGTTATGACAATGATAACAATAGAAAAACAAAAGAAGAACCACGGATAGTGGAGGCCATTGGCTGGCTTTCAAGAACAGAAGAGAACTCTTGTGTGGGAGGAAATGGTTCTTCAGGTGGCAGTCAGTCAGCATTTTAGCAGCCAAAACTGCCCCTTGAGATAAATTAAAGTGCAATTGCTTCTTTCCTTAAAAGCACAAACCTTCCCTGCCTCCATTTTCAGCACTGCTCAATAATCTGTTGTCAAGCACAATTATTAGAATAATAAAACACGATGATTTCACAGTTATGTGTGCATAATCTTTCTCAGGCTCTTATATTCCGTGGACACTTCCATGCCTTTTAGATCTCACTTCTAGAAAGACCACAGGAAACTTCAAGCTTTTGCCAGATCTT